CACTTCCACAGAGCATCGGCAATTTGAATTCTCTTGTGGAGTTGAATTTGTTGGCATGTGTATCCTGGAAGGCACTCCCAGAGAGCATCGGCAATTTGAACTCTCTTGTGGACTTGGATTTGTATACATGTTGATCCTGAAAGGCACTTCCAGAGAGCATCGGCAATTTGAACTCTCTTGTGAAGTTGAATTTGGGAGATTGTCAATCCTTGGAGGCACTTCCAAAGAGCATCGACAATTTGAACTCTCTTGTGGACTTGGATTTGTTTAGATGTCGATCCTTGAAGGCACTTCTAGAGAGCATCGGCAATTTGAATTCTTTTGTGCAGTTGAGATTGTATGGATGTGGATCCTTGAAGGCACTTCCAGAGAGCATCGGCAATTTGAACTCTCTTGTGAAGTTGAATTTGAGAGATTGTCAATCCTTGGAGGCACTTCCAGAGAGCATCGACAATTTGAACTCTCTTGTGGACTTGGATTTGTATACATGTCGATCCTTGAAGGCACTTCCAGAGAGCATCGGCAATTTGAACTCTCTTGTGAAGTTGAATTTGAGAGATTGTCAATCCTTGGAGGCACTTCCAAAGAGCATCGGCAATTTGAACTCTCTTGTGGACTTGGATTTGTTTAGATGTCCATCCTTGAAGGCACTTCTAGAGAGCATCGGCAATTTGAACTCTCTAGTGGAGTTGAATTTGTATGGATGTCGATCCTTGGAGGCACTTCAAGAGAGTATCGGCAATTTGAATTCTCTTGTGGAGTTGAATTTGTCTGCATGTGTATCCTTGAAGGCACTTCCAGATAGCATCGGCAATTTGAACTCTCTTGAGGACTTCGATTTGTATACATGTGGATCCTTGAAGGCACTTCCAGAAAGCATCGGCAATTTGAACTCTCTTGTGAAGTTGGATTTGAGAGTTTGTAAATCCATGAAGGCATTTCCAGAGAGCATTGGCAATTTGAACTCTCTTGTGAAGTTGAATTTGTATGGATGTCGATCCTTGGAGGCACTTCAAGAGAGTATCGGCAATTTGAATTCTCTTGTGGAGTTGAATTTGTCTGCATGTGTATCCTTGAAGGCACTTCCAGATAGCATCGGCAATTTGAACTCTCTTGTGGACTTCGATTTGTATACATGTGGATCCTTGAATGCACTTCCAAAGAGCATCGATAATTTGAACTCTCTTGTGAAGTTGAATTTGGGAGATTGTCAATCCTTGGAGGCACTTCCAAAGAGCATCGACAATTTGAACTCTCTTGTGGACTTGGATTTGTTTAGATGTGGATCCTTGAAGGCACTTCCCGAGAGCATCGGCAATTTGAACTCTCTTGTGAAGTTGAATTTGACAGATTGTCAATCCTTGGAGGCACTTCCAGAGAGCATCGACAATTTGAACTCTCTTGTGGACTTGAATTTGTATGCATGTCGATCCTTGAAGGCACTTCCAGAGAGCATCGGCAATTTGAACTCTCTTGTGGAGTTGAATTTGTATGCATGTCGATCCTTGAAGGCACTTTCTGAGAGCATCGGCAATTTGAACTCTCTTGTGAAGTTGAATTTGGGAGATTGTCAATCCTTGGAGGCACTTCCAAAGAGCATCGGCAATTTGAACTCTCTTGTGGACTTGGATTTGTTTAGATGTCGATCCTTGAAGGAACTTCCAGAGAGCATCGGCAATTTGAACTCTCTTGTGAAGTTGAATTTGTATTGATGAGGATCCTTGAAGGCACTTCCAGAGAGCATCGGCAATTTGAATTCATTTGTGCAGTTGAGATTGTATGGATGTGGATCCTTGAATGCACTTCTAGAGAGCATCGGTAATTTGAACTCTCTTGTGAAGTTGAATTTGAGAGATTGTCAATCCTTGGAGGCACTTCCAAAGAGCATCGGCAATTTGAACTCTCTTGTGGACTTGGATTTGTGTAGATGTCGATCCTTGCAGGCACTTCCAGAGAGCATCGGCAATTTGAACTCTCTTGTGGAGTTGAATTTGTATGGATGTCGATCCTTGGAGGCACTTCAAGAGAGTATCGGTAATTTGAATTCTCTTGTGGAGTTGAATTTGTCTGCATGTGTATCCTTGAAGGCACTTCCAGATAGCATCGGCAATTTGAACTCTCTTGAGGACTTCGATTTGTATACATGTGGATCCTTGAAGGCACTTCCAGAAAGCATCGGCAATTTGAACTCTCTTGTGAAGTTGAATTCGGGAGATTGTCAATCCTTGGAGGCACTTCCAAAGAGCATCGGCAATTTGAACTCTCTTGTGGACTTGGATTTGTTTAGATGTCGATCCTTGAAGGCACTTCCAGAGAGCATCGGCAATTTGAATTCATTTGTGCAGTTGAGATTGTATGGATGTGGATCCTTGAAGGCACTTCCAGAAAGCATCGGCAATTTGAACTCTCTTGTGAAGTTGAATTTGGGAGATTGTCAATCCTTGGAGGCACTTCCAAAGAGCATCGACAATTTGAACTCTCTTGTGGACTTGGATTTGTTTAGATGTCGATCCTTGAAGGCACTTCCAAAGAGCATCGGCAATTTGAACTCTCTTGTGAAGTTGAATTTGTGTGGATGTCGATCCTTGGAGGCACTTCCAGAGAGCATCGGCAATTTGAACTCTCTTGTGGAGTTGAATTTGTCTGCATGTGTATCCTTGAAGGCACTTCCAGATAGCATCGGCAATTTGAACTCTCTTGTGGACTTCGATTTGTATACATGTTGATCCTTGAATGCACTTCCAAAGAGCATCGGCAATTTGAACTCTCTTGTGAAGTTGAATTTGGGAGATTGTCAATCCTTGGAGGCACTTCCAAAGAGCATCGACAATTTGAACTCTCTTGTGGACTTGGATTTGTTTAGATGTCGATCCTTGAAGGCACTTCTAGAGAGCATCGGCAATTTGAATCCATTTGTGCAGTTGAGATTGTATGGATGTGGATCCTTGAAGGCACTTCCACAGAGCATCGGCAATTTGAACTCTCTTGTGAAGTTGAATTTGAGAGATTGTCAATCCTTGGAGGCACTTCCAGAGAGCATCGACAATTTGAACTCTCTTGTGGACTTGGATTTGTATACATGTCGATCCTTGAAGGCACTTCCAGAGAGCATCGGCAATTTGAACTCTCTTGTGAAGTTGAATTTGAGAGATTGTCAATCCTTGGAGGCACTTCCAAAGAGCATCGGCAATTTGAACTCTCTTGTGGACTTGGATTTGTTTAGATGTCCATCCTTGAAGGCACTTCTAGAGAGCATCGGCAATTTGAACTCTCTAGTGGAGTTGAATTTGTATGGATGTCGATCCTTGGAGGCACTTCAAGAGAGTATCGGCAATTTGAATTCTCTTGTGGAGTTGAATTTGTCTGCATGTGTATCCTTGAAGGCACTTCCAGATAGCATCGGCAATTTGAACTCTCTTGAGGACTTCGATTTGTATACATGTGGATCCTTGAAGGCACTTCCAGAAAGCATCGGCAATTTGAACTCTCTTGTGAAGTTGAATTTGGGAGATTGTCAATCCTTGGAGGCACTTCCAAAGAGCATCGACAATTTGAACTCTCTTGTGGACTTGGATTTGTTTAGATGTCGATCCTTGAAGGCACTTCCAAAGAGCATCGGCAATTTGAACTCTCTTGTGAAGTTGAATTTGTATGGATGTCGATCCTTGGAGGCACTTCAAGAGAGTATCGGCAAGTTGAATTCTCTTGTGGAGTTGAATTTGTCTGCATGTGTATCCTTGAAGGCACTTCCAGATAGCATCGGCAATTTGAACTCTCTTGTGGACTTCGATTTGTATACATGTTGATCCTTGAATGCACTTCCAAAGAGCATCGGCAATTTGAACTCTCTTGTGAAGTTCTTTCCAGATTGTCAATCCTTGGAGGCACTTCCAAAGAGCATCGACAATTTGAACTCTCTTGTGGACTTGGATTTGTTTAGATGTCGATCCTTGAAGGCACTTCTAGAGAGCATCGGCAATTTGAATCCATTTGTGCAGTTGAGATTGTATGGATGTGGATCCTTGAAGGCACTTCCAGAGAGCATCGGCAATTTGAACTCTCTTGTGAAGTTGAATTTGAGAGATTGTCGATCCTTGGAGGCACTTCTAGAGAGCATCGACAATTTGAACTCTCTTGTGGACTTGAATTTGTATACATGTCGATCCTTGAAGGCACTTCCAAAGAGCATCGGCAATTTG